AAAAAAAAAAAAAAAAAGGTTTGGGTGGGGGGGGGGGGGGGGGGGGGGGTGGGTGAATACTTTTCGGAATCAAATAAAATATGAACATGAATGAATGTGTGGATGCAGCTTTCCTACAAGCGGTGTCATGGTTGGCAATTGCAATCCTGGCTTCCCAGTCGGACATCTCAATCACCAGCATCACCATTTATCTCCTCCTCAGCAATCTCGGGGCTTCAATCGCTGAGGTTGCCAATGACGCCATTGTGGCCGAGTCCAGTAAACAGCAGCACTCTGCTTCCTCCCAACGATCATCATCCAGTGAGCTCCAATCCTTTGTTTGGATGGCTTCATCTGCCGGTGGAGTCCTTGGGAACCTCCTAGGTGGTCTCATCATAGACCGAGTGTCTCCCCAGAAGCTGTTCCTCCTTTTTGGCCTCGTAGCTTCTCTCCAGTTTTTTCTAACCATTGCAGTTGGGGAGAGCTCGTTGAACCTTCCAAAGAGCTCATCTTCACCATCGAATGTGGGATTCAGGAAACAGCTCTCTAGGCTCAGACTCGCCCTGGAAGATCCATCCATCACGCACTCGCTAACATGGTTTGCAGCATCTTATGCAGTAATTCCTACACTTGCAGGCACAATGTTCTTTTATCAGACGCAACATTTGAAGATAGATCCGTGGGTGCTGGGGATGTCAAAGGTGATGGGGCAGGTGGCGATGCTGGCATGGAGCGTGGTGTTCGACCGGTGGTTGAAGCAGGTGGCGCCGGGGAGAGTAATTGCGGGAGTACAGGGGGCAATGGCGCTGCTCATGGTATCGGACGCCTTGTTTGTCAAGGGGTTGTATACAAGTGTGGGAGTAGCAGATTGGTTGTATGTAGTGCTCGTGTCAGGGGTGTTGGAGGCCATGTTCTTTGTTAAGATTCTTCCCTTCAGCCTGCTGATGGCGAGGGTCTGCCCTGCAGGTTGTGAGGGCTCGCTGATGGCGTTGATGGGGTCAGCCATAGCGTTGGCGCTCATACTCAGCGGCTATCTTGGAGTTGCTCTCGCTGCCGCCTTCGTTGGGGATGATTTCTCTGGCTTCCCTAGAGCCCTCCTCATTCAAGCGGCCTGCACGCTATTGCCACTTTATTGGTCACCACATTCTATTCCTGATCCTGATGATGATAGACGACAGATTTCGTCCAAAGAGGAATAGCAAGTAGAAATGCTTTTTGTGGTGGCTTGGCTTGTGTGAGAGTATACTTTTTCTTTCCTTCTTTTCCGAGAAAAAAAAAACACTATACTTTTACAGGCAAAAGAAGAAGACTGGAATTTAAGTGATGCCTTGAGAAGCTGGGGTCATCGGGGACTTTGACTGACGAATTTTGGACCTACAACCTCTGTAACAGTTTGTTTTTGTTTTAATTGAATAAGGAATCATGACAGAAAAAGAAGGAAAAAAAAAAAACCATTTTAATAAAAGTATTCCGCAGTGAGAGTTCAAGTTCAATCGACCAACATTAACAGAGGCCACGGAACAAGATGACATTCATATTACGAGTCTGTCTGTCAATATACAAACAAACACATCATTCACCATGATTCAAGTCTTTAATTAACGTGATAAACATCCACCATTTGGATTAAAAGGGGTACACTATTATATCATATTCATATGCAATGCCCACATAAAAGGTGCAGCAGCAGCATTCCAAAGGATGGAACGAAAATTGACACAAAAACCCCTTAGCTTTGTCGTCAACCGAACCCACCTCCCACAATGTTATTTATCTCTTACATATACGTGTGTATACACATATTATATATCAGGTGGTAACCGCAAAGGCTCGTCATAATAATAATAATAATAATAATAACAAGAAGAAGAAGAAAAAAAAAAGCCAGAGTATCCAAAAGATGATCGATTTCTAAAAATCTTGCTAGGCGACTCTAGATGGATGAAGCAAAAATGGAGGAAGATGATGCTCTAAAACAGCCAGGAGCTCACTGCTCTGGCCGACCTCTTTTAAGACCGCGCCATCGAGTCTTGTCACAGCTTCCACAAGCTTCCCCCTTAGCCTTTGGGACAGCAAAGGCCCACCCGCCTCAACACACTCCCTGTACAGCGGCAGGTAAGCAATCGTCACCCTTAACGGGGCTGGAAGATCTCTCAAGGAAATAGGAGATCCCCCCCACTTCAAAATTCTCATGATGTTCATGTAATGTTCTTGGCCTTGCCTCAATCCATCCAAGAAAGCTGCCTCTGACCAATGCTCTTGAAGAAAAGACTTGAGCTCGGGCGCCACAGCCCCATCCTCGGACCTAGAGATAATGTCAGCAACAGCATAAGTAGCTGCAGGATCACCTAAGAAGTCGGAACGGAGGAGAAATGCGACACCGTCCAAGGAGCCAGCGCTTCGTTCGCCGGCAGCCCTGAGAATCTCGATGCTTAGGGTTTGAAGAACGTGACGAGGAACATGAGGAAGGAGATAGGCGGCGACGTGAACTTGGCTACTAGAAGTAGCAGCGGTGAGGGCAAGACAGAGCTCCATGTCTCGGCAACCCCTTTTCATAAACCAGTCGACGACCTGCATACAACCCCTCTCAGCTGCTCTCATCAAAGGGCCTAAGAAAGCGATGGCATTACCCTCCTCCACGAGACACTCCATGGTCCCAATCTTGCAGTAGTGAGAAGCAAACCCCAATGCCAGGTCAACGTCCACGTCCAAGCTGTTCCTTTGCGCAATCTTTGAATTCGAAACAAACAAAGCCTAGAATTAGATTTTAGATAATTTATTCCATACCCCAAGTGTGACAGTAACATAGCACGGTAATCAGGGCATTAGCTTGATTTAATAGGCTTTGCGTTTTCTAAGCTTAATTAATTAAACTATAGTAAAAGGTCAAAAACAAAAAAGGAGCATTTTAGTTTGTTTATGAGCAGCACAATAATACATAATGATAATAATGATGATGATTAATACCTGTAACAAAATGCGAACAAGGTGTGTACTCCCGAAACGAGAAGCTTCAAGGAAACACTGGTTGACATTGTCAGCGCCTCCCTCTACTAAGATAGCGAGCAGACCTTGGATGGCGGCAGCGGAATTGGGATCGAATAAAGTCGAGAAGAGAGTCAAGGGAAAGCAGGCAGCGTCAAAGGCCTCGGTGAAGTCCTTCCCGGTGAGTTGATTACCAGAAAGATCTATGAAGGTCTTAAAAGCCGATAACTGGAGTTGTATCTGATTATGAAGTCCACCAACCCCATCTGTATCTTCTCCTTCTGGATTGCCGTTTTTGTCTCTGAAATGGGAATTTGGGGAATTGGAGTGGGAATTGGGGGAATGGCAATGGATGCATTTGAGAGCCCATTCCGTGAACTTGTGGAACTTGGCTCCGGCTTCCGCCTTGAGAAGCTCATCTCCGTTGCATTCCTGGAGGCGCTCGTGCAACCTCTGCGCCATTAGACTGACGGTGTCGGCCGGACTCATAGAGCGGCTCTGGCACGCCGACACGCACGACGCCAGAAAACAAGTCCTGAGGGCGGCCCTGCTGAAGTCACAAGCCCCGTTGGCAATGATCTTGTTGATCAATCCAGTAATGCCAATAAGCTGTTGCTGAGTTCTCAAGAACCAGATTGAATCCAGAGTTATGCAGAGAGCATCGTTAAGGGATTGTGGATCCGCCATCGAAACCAAGCTCTCCGCCAATTCCAAATCGTAGCAACTAACTGCCCTCTGAAACAGCCTCCCCAACTCAACTCTCTCCTCTCTACTAAACAACACCCCCTTCTTTTTCTTCTTCTTCTTCTTCCTCTTCTTCTTCTTCTTATTCTTCTTCTTCTTCCATTCATCATCACTTTCCGATTCCGTTTCCGATTCCGAATTCGATTTCGAATTCGATTTATCCTTCCCAACATCAGTACTACTGCAATCTGACTCTGAATCTCCATAACAAATTCCTTTATTAAAAAAAAAAAAAAAAAAAAAAAAAAAGAACCATATAAAAGATATCATTAACAAAAGAAAAACGAATTGAATTTTAAGACGGACAAAACTCACCAGTAGCCACGACCATGGTTGATTCCATTTTCCAATTTGCAAAAAGATTACGAAAACTTCCCCAGGACAAAAAGCGAAAGCAAAGCAAAGACGAGAAAGAAGGATTGCCTTACCCTTACCTATCTGCTATCTCCCAAAAAAAAGAAAAAAAAAAAAAGGAAAAAAAATATGGGTGATGTTTGGAATTATTTTAGAAAAAAAAAAAATTATTAAATACATTTTTAAAAATAATTTTTAAAAATATTTTATTTTTATTTTTATATAGAAAATAAAATTATGTTGAAATGTAAACGTGTCAGAAAGAATTCAGAGGAAGTGGGCTTTTGAGAGCCTCGCTGAGAGGGCCGATTAATTTGGAATTGGGCCTGCAAGTAAAGAGCCCATATTTCCTAACTTCTTAAAGAGGAAGAAGTGCCTAAAACGACAATGATCTAGTAACAAATAACAAAAGTTTTTTTTTTTATAATTAGCCATTGAAAATTGAAATACAATCCTCGGAAAAAAAAAAAAAAATTGAAATACACACAAGACAAGGCAACCATAAGTAGGAAATAGAAGAAGAGAATAGAAATTCAAAATTCAAACTTGAGAAGTAAAAGAAGAGAGAGATCAAAGTTTGGGTAGTGGAGAAAGAAAGATGTCGACGAGAAGCGGAAACATCAAGGGTTTCTACAAGCAAAAGAAGACGACGACGAAGACTGGTATAACTGGTACTGGAATCAAGAAATCGCCCTCCTCCGCCGCAACCCTCGGCTCTGACATCACCCAACCCCCTGCCCTCCTCTCCAATTCTTCTCCCGATCTCCGAGGTTTCCTTTCCTTTTCTTTTCTGTTCTTATCAGTTAATTAATGTTTTGATTTTTTTTATTCTTAGGGTCTTCAGCAACCTTGTACTGTCTTTTTTTCTTTTTTCTTTTTTCCCCTTCTCTCTCTCTCTCTCTCTCTCTCTCTCTCTCTCTCTCTATGGCTTTTACTGAAGAAGTTTGAAAAAGTTTATCCTTCTTTTCTATGCATCTTTACTGGAGGAGTTCGATTTCATCGCCAAAGTAACCAGTTTTATTTATTTCTTTATTTATTTATGACACAACTCATTTCTCTTATTTTAGCTCTTTATATGTTTGAGTTGCTGTTCTCGATCAATCATAATGAGAAATTCAAATAATAAGCGTGGTTTTGGTTTTGCTTTTAGTTTTCTTTTGCCACTTTTTGACAATTAGATTAGATGAGTATATGTATGACAAGGCGCGTCTTTTATTATATTTTACTTTTTTTTTTTTTAAATTTTTCTTCACCATTGTCTCTATGTCTCTTTATTGTGAAACTTATCGACTTTATTTATAACAAGTGTTAACTCGTTGTTGTACGTTCAAGCTTTCAAAAAAAAGAAAAAAGAAAAAAAACCTTAATTTATGAGAAGTGAGAATGAATAGAAATAACGGAGTTGCTCATGTATTCTTCTGCTGTGACAATGAATTGGAAATAACAAAGCTTTGGTGTTTTTCGTTTGGGAAATAATCATTTAACAGATGAGTATGACAAAGAAGAGGAGGTGTTGAGGCAATTCGACATGAACATGGCATACGGACCCTGCCTCGGAATGAGCAGGCTCACTCGCTGGGAACGAGCCTCTGTTCTTGGCTTGAATCCTCCCCAACAGGTTCACCATCTTCTTCTCAAGGCTCCCACTGCTCGCTCTCACTGCTTGTGGGAGGGTCGCATTTAGTTAATGTTTGGTTGTTGTGATAAATAATTAGTTAATGTTTGCTATGTTTGTTCAGCCTCTCCCCGGAACCATCTGCTCTAAGTCTACGACGTTGTGTTTAACTTTATCGTATATGTATGTGGACACTTGTTTCATGACTTGGTAATGGTTTTATAAGGACTGGTGTTTTTAGTTAATTGGTTTTGTGTTTCATAATCTGAATTCCATCAACAGTAACAGCCCATTCCTACTTCTATTGTATTGTATTGTATGTGATGTAAAGAAAAAGGGGAGTGAATTTGAGTGCGACAACAATTTCAAGTCTCCAGCTGACTTTACTTTTCTCACGTTGTTCTCCTTCTTTTCTGTAACAAACTCTGGGGTTTGTTTTGTGTCTTGTGGCCTTCAAGGCAAGGGTAATAGTTCCTTTTTGTTTGACTATGTTAGGTTCGTTTTTATCCTGGTGTAACAAGTGGTGTTGTAACACTTTACTGTAACACTTTTTGTGACAGAAAATCTAAAATTAAACCAGCAAAATAGTAAAGCAGGAAACTAATGCAGAAACGTAAAGGACACCAAAAAAATGATATTACAGTTCGGTGTGCATACCTACTCTGCGGGGCCACGCCCAGACAATGATTAATCTACTAAGTTCAAAAGATTACAAAGGACCGAACAGTCTTACACACTCAACGACTCCCTCCTTGACGATGTCGCCGTTGCCTAGAATCTCCTTAGAAAGCTTGATCAGCAAGTACCACTTGACTTGACGGTTTCCTTCCGAAACCAAAGAAATCTTCTCCCGAAGAACCAATTCAAAAGTGTTCTTACAATCCGTCGCAACACATCAAGCGATTCTTAACATTACAATCTCATACTCACATGAACACACAGCTTTTTCTGTATTCAACACATATTCTTCACCTCACGTTCTTTTAACATCAAAACCCTCATGCCACTGTATATACCATCACAGAATCACACCCATCAATCATCCACGATAAGCACATCCAATCATGGTAATATTTCCTCCATTCACACCACAAATCAGGTCACCAGCCCTAATGATAGTAAGAAGACAATCATACCCATTATTTCTCACAATTTTTTCCTTAGAAGAGTTAGCCATAATGCTCCAGAAAGTCTACTCTTGATTTTCAGCAATCAAGATCTTTTATTTGCAGCCAATACACAAGACAACCAAACTTTTTTTAAGAGGACTACTAATTTACAATGCCAATCAATCTTACAACTAATTTGCCAAAAATAAGCCAACACAAAAAATGTACTAACAATCTCCCCCTTTGGCTATTTTTGGCAAAACTAACATTATTAACAAAAAGAACCTATTACAAGATAAAAGATAAAAAACCAACTAAGGGGGTTAATTGAATTAAGAGTTCTCCCCCTTTTTGACAAAAGACAGCCAAAGTTAAAAAATAATACTAATAGAAAAACCTTTTAGAAGCTGTTGCTCCTCCTGAGTTCTCTACGAGTCTTGCTCCCCCTGAATGTAACACTATCTTAAACTTGATATTATCACCTGTCAAATGCTTGGACCAGCCACCATTACTACACACACAACCATTAGTACATGCTTCTAAAGAAGTATAAGTCCTATGACACCTTAAATCAGATTTCCTTACCCAAACACGTCTAGGAAATTTATTTTGCACATCAATCCTTGCTTTAGGTGTCCTTCTTGAGTTTGCAGAATTTGGTGGATTCATGAGCATACCTCTCTTCAAAGCATTCAAATACTTGTAACATCTTGGTCTTATATGGCCAGTTAAACCACAATAATGACATATGGGAACAAACTTTTTACGTCGTGGGGGTGAGATAATACCTTTCTTACTAGGGATAATTTAAGGCTTAGGTGCGGGTGTCTCCTTCACAAATACTGTCTTGGACGTTGAGCATTCACTAGTATAACCAAGTCCATGACGATCACAACTAGCTTTTCCCATAGAGAGAATATGATCCAATTTAGTGGTGCCAGAATTCATCATCTTCAAATTTTTCTGAGTGCTCTCCAGTTCAGCCCTTGTGTCCTGTAGCTTTTTCTCATTTTCAATAGCTTGAAATTCATAGTTAACGGCAACCCTCTTAAGCACATCTTTCTCTTTAACAAGCTCATCAACTCGTTCCCGTAGAGACTTATTCATTTCACACACTTTAACTCATTTGCTAAACATGGTCTTATAGGATTCTTGTATAGCATCAATAGTCAACACCTCACCATCACTGTTACTTTCAAAATCTGAAAAATCTCCTCCATTTTCACTGTTCACGGAATCTGTTATAGGTAGTGTTGCAACACTGTCTGCGACACTTTTTGTAATACTGTCTGCAGAAACACTTTGATCAGTATAAACATTGAAAGCAACATAGTTACTCACATGGTCTTCATCCTCCTGACTGCCTTCAGAGTCTTCATCACTCAATGTTGCATTAAACGACTTCTTCTTCTTCTTGAGGGTGTTGGCACACTCGGATTGAATGTGACCGTAACCGTCGCATTCCCGGCATTGAATACCCATGTTTTTTGTCTTCATCTCTGTGTTAATTGCTGCAGCTTTATTCTTCTGAAAGTTGTTGGAATTGCCATTTCTTGAATTCTCATTCTTCCTATTGACCTTCTTCATCACCTTGTTGAATTTCTTTGACAACTTTGTTATGGACTGGGCCAAGTCTTCTTCATCATCATAATCAACTTCGGCTTGAAAGGCAATACTTTTCTCCTTCTTTCCTTCCTTGTTTTCATCCAAATTCATCTCAAAAGTGCACAAAGAACCCATTAGCTCATCAAGTTTCATTGTTTGGATATCCTTGGCTTCCTCAATAGCTGTCACCTTATAAGCAAACCTCCGTGGAAGAGACCTCAAGACCTTCCTCACAAGCTTCTTCTCTGATATTTTCTCTCCAAGGGCAAATGCCTCATTAGCAATATCACATAATTTTGAATTGAAATCAGAAATTGTTTCATCTTCAAGCATGCGTAAGTTTTCAAACCTAGTAGTGTGAATTTAAAGCTTTGATAGTCTCACGGCTGCCGTGCCCTCATGCGCCGTTTGTAGAATTTCCCAAGCCTCCTTAGCCGTCTCACATGTAGAAATGAGCTTAAATTGATTGGCATACACTCCGTTGAAGATGGCATTAAGAGCTCTTGAATTGCTATTTGCCAATCAATCTTCTTCAGTAGA